GGCCGAGCTCAGGCCCTGATGGATAATATCGACACCTTTATCGAGGTGAGCGGTTCAACATTTTCCTGCCCACTGAAGCAGGAGCAGGACTCTTCCTTTTTTTCTTTTTTTGGAAAGCTCTGGTGTAAATTTTCTATTTGACTTTTGTTCAGCTTTGAAACATCCAAAATCTCACAATCCAAACACTTGGGATGGTTTGTTTGCTGCTAACTAGCTAACCCTCCTCCACAACTATGTCATAACTGCACTGGTGGACATTGTAGGGTTGAAGGAATAGTACTGTGTTGGTTCAGAATAGGACTTTAAATACTCAGGATTACACATACTGTCTTATGATAGAGGGAAAAAAAAGTGGGTATATTTTTAGGACATTTTCTGTTAGACTTTAAATGGATAAGCACTGATTTTACACCTCACTGTAAACATGATCTATTCTAACAACCGGGGTCAACACAGAAAGGCATTAATGGATAATTTATGTGGAAATGTAGCTTGACGGTACTCGATAAAAGCAGCAACGCTCTCACCCAGTCAGTTACATCTCGCTGTTACACCTCTGAGGTTAAAATTAGTTTGACGCTCCTCAGTTTGAGCGTGTGTCGTGCTGCAGTTTATTTTGCTTAATGACCGATCAGGATATTCGTGTAACTCTGCTCTCCAGTTTTAGAGGAGCCCTGTTGGTTTCTAAGCACTGTGAAGAGGCAGGGTTTTCTGGTTGGCTCTTGGCTGGGTACATGGTTTTAGGGATGTCCCGATCCAGCTTTTTTCTCATCGATCCGATCCCGGCCTATCAGAGCATGTATTAAAGTTTAAAGTTATTTATCTACTTACTTAGTTGTCAGACTCATGTTGAACAGGGATTTACTCTGATAACAACTTAATGGTTAGGACACAGACCTGTGGGTTAGGAGATGCTAATGCTAATGCTGATGCTCGTGTGGGTTCGGATTAAAAAAAAAAACTGGATCTGGAGTCTGAATCTGCATTTTCTCCTGCTGGCCTAAACGCAGTTTTTTGCAAATATCGGCATACGATCCGATCCAGATATCGGATCGGGACCATCCTACATGTATCCATGAATGCATCAGTTAGTTATAAAGGAAAGTGATTCAGCTTAAAGTTTCTGTTGTTCTTGAGGCCTCATCTTCTCAGTCTGGCTGCCACGGGTCTCCTGAGTGGTGCAGAGGACAATATTCATCAGGGTCCTCTGCAACCTACCAGAAGTGAAGTTTAGCTCTGAAACTGGACTGAAGTAATTTCACAGCCTCACAGTTTTGATCCTGCAAACCTCCACACACATCAGTCCTTCTGCTGCTGGACAGCCTCCCCTCAGGCCTCAGACTGGTGGCAGACTGTCAGCTAAAGCTTTCGCTGTGTTAACTCATTGACTGCCAGCCATTTTCAGAACAGAGAGTCCCATACTGCCAGAGTTTTTTTAGCATTTTGACTGATTTTTCAAGAGCCACAGAATAGTTTGTGCTATGACTATGTAAACACCGAACACACCAAAAGAAAGAGTAGACTCTCTTCTTTCA